AACATCAGAGTATACTTTAGAATAAAGAGAATTAGTGGGATAACAAAAGACACTTCATAAGTATTAAAGGAGTAAATTCATTAAGAAGGTATAAAGTTTTAAATGTGTACTGGCATAATAACAGAGCTTTAAAATTCATAAAGCAAAAAGCAAAAACTGATCAAAAAGGACAAACCATGAATACAAAATAATAGTTAAACACTTCAACACTTCCAAGAATAATAACACAAGTAAAAGAAAAGTCAATATAAATGTAGACTAACTAAACAACACTATTAAGCAACTTGATCTAATTTACATTTATAAAGTACTTCATCAACTACCCAGAACACACATTCATTTTAAGTGTACTGAGAACATTCACCAAGGCAGATCACACATTGGGCTATAAAATAATTCTTAGTAATTTTTTGAGAGAAATTATTGCTATAGAGTATGTGTGGTTACCAGAGAGACAGAGAGAGACAGAAAAATAGAAAAATAAATCACCCCCCAGAGGGTATGGCTATGCCACAGTTCCTTCACTTTCATTCTCCTCTCAGGATTTTGGGCATGAGCACAAGCCTGGTGTGAATTTTAAACCACCAGGTCTGGGACTCAAACCACAGTCGACTACATGGGAGTTCAGTGATATAACCATTATGCTATCTGCTGGTCCCAATTCTTAGCAATTTTAGGAGGGTTGAAGTCATAAGACTTGAATTTTAAGAGGGTTGATGATTTTCTGACTATCACAGAATTAGAGTAGAAATAGATCATTTAAAAAATGTGGAAAGTTCCAATATTAGAAATTAAACAAAACATTTCCTAATTACCTGGAGGTCAAAGAGTAAAATACAAAAGAAATTAAAAAATATTTTAGATTCAGTGAAAATAACTTATCAAAATTTCTTACATATAAAACAATACTCAAGAAAATGTGATGGAATTATATGCTTATTATTAGAAAAGAAGAAAGGTCTCAAATCAATAACGCACCTTCCATATTAATAAATTTGAAAAAGAGGAATAACTTAAAGTAAGTGACCCCAAAGAGCAAATTTTATCTATCTATCTATATTTATATATGTATATAAATTATATATATATATTATATTTATATATGTATAGACACACATGTGTGTGTCTATATATATATATGTGTGTGTGTGCATGTAGAGGTTTTTGTTTTGCCAAAACTGACAGAAGAAATAATAAATCTTAATAGTCCTATCATTTTTAGGAAAATTAACTGTGTAATTTCAAATCTTATCACAAAGAAATGCCAGAGATGTTTCCATAGTAGATTCTGCTATGTGTTTTTACAACTTTTTCTGGAGAAAAAGAATCAGCCTTTTATAACTCACTGTAAGCCTTGTTTAACCCTAGTATAAAAACCTGACATTGATATTAAAGACAAGAAAAAAAAACAGGCTATTCTCACTCATAAATATAAATGAAAAATAGAAAACACAATTATAAAAATATATTCAGCAATAGGCATATTGGATAATACAGCACAACCAAATTGCATTTTTCCAAGAATGAAAAGTTGTCTTAACATTCAAAAAGCGATCTATGCAATTACCATGTTGACAACCTAAAGAAGGTTTTACAAGTAATTGAATAGATGCAGAAAAAGAATTTCATAAAATATATTAAGTAAATACATTTGGGAAACTAAAAACAAACATTTTTTAACATGACAAATCTTGGAAATAATCTACAACTAACTTCATTATGGCAAAATACTGAACTATTTTTAACTTAGATCCTGATAATTTATAAAGATGTCAACTCTTAAATGTCTTTTATTTTATTTTATAATTTCTTATTTACATTTAATTGTCACATCTTTGTGGGGGACAATGCGATTTTTTTAAAGCATTCATGCAGTGTGTGATAATCAAAGTTATTCAACATATTAACAATGGAAGGCTGTGCAGTAAGACAAGGGATAAAAGTATTAAGGATTTCGAAGGAAGAAATAAAATGGTCACTATTTGCTGATGATGTGATTGTTGGTAATTATACAAATAAATATAAATGTAAGAAATATATTTTTCTCATTTTAAACACTTTCAAAGATACTTGACTATCCAATGCAAAACAGTAACAGTATTTTATAGAGTATTAACTATATGTAATGTTAAAATATGTGACAACAATATCACAGAGATTAGAAGAAAGGATTGGACACATTTCTGTTTTAAGATTCTGATACTATTTATGAACTGCTGTATTATTATAGAGTGATAAGGTAAAGAGATACACTAAAAACTCTGGGGGGGTGGAGCAACCACTAAAGCAGAAAAAAGAAAAGAATATAACTAGCTAATAGTGGAACTATTTTTAAAAATACTTCATTTAAAACAGTAAAAGAGACAAAGGATAGATGAAATTAATAGAAACCAATCAGCAAGGTACTTAATTTAAATCCAGTTATATCAATAATTATATCCAATGAAAATTATCTAATTACCCCAATCAAAAGCAAAGACTTTTGAGATTAGATGATAAAGAAATACCCACTTACATGTTATCTATAAAAAGCTCACTTTAAGTATAAAGATTAAGATAAGCCGACAGTAAAAAGTTTAAAATATTACAAACACAAAAACAAAAAATTGAGTGGTGCTATTCATATTAGACATATTAAACTTCAGAACAAGGTAAACTAATAGGGATAAAGAACGACATTCATCAAGAAGACAAACTGTTTCTAAATATAACTGAGTAATTCAATATGCAAAATAGTTAACCATATTACTTAGATATAAACCAACAACATAAATATCAATACAATAGTATCAAAAACATTACCTATCTAGATATTTGATGAGGTATTCTGGGGATAAACCTGACAAAATAAATTCAAAACTTGTATAAAAATACTAAAAAAGATTGATTAAAGAAATCAAAGACTTAGATAAATGGATAATATATTCATGTATCAGAAAACTCAGTATTCTTAAGATGTCTGTGCTCTGATATGGTTTGTAGATTCAATGAAATCCCAACCAGAAATCCCCAACATATTTTTGTTTTACTTTGTTTTGTTTTCATAGAAGTCAACAAAAGCTGAATCCAAAACAGATGAAAAAACAAAGTACATAGAATAATCTTAGAATAATGAATACAATTTTTAAATAAATAAAGATGATTAAGGATAGGAAAACACTAAGTCAGAAAAACACTTGCACATCCATGCTTTTTGCAGTATTATTTCACAATTGCTAAAACATGGAACCAAACTAAGTGCCCATAAACTGATGACTAGGTTGAAAAACTGTGGCACATAGATACTATGGAATATTACTCAGCTATAAGAAACAATGAGACCCCATCTTTTGATTCAAAGAGGATGAATATAGAAGACTTAATGTTGTGTGAAGTGAGCCAGACTTTTGAAAGATACACATTGTATATCTCCAGTTAGTTTGTACTGAATATCTGCACTCTGGCAGAATGAAATGAGCTGAAGATATGATAGTATAGAGGATGAGTGTACATACCAGAGACCATAAGGGAGGAGAGTGGATGGTAAGAGTGTGCTGGAGTCTGCATTCAACAGATAAAAAATATGCGAAATTCTCTGTTGAAAAAAATACATGTATATTGTATACTTCATGATGGGGATGTGATGTAAAATGTGAAATTAACCAGAAAAATTTTAAAAATAGATGGTAGAGAAAAAGAATAAAGATTGGGGACCTAAACTACCTGATTTCTAGATTTACTCTAAAATTGTAAAGTATTGGTACACAGTACAATGGAACAGAAAGAAGAGTCCAGAAATAGGTGCTCACATATTTGATCCATTGATTTTTGCAAAAAGTTGCCAAAGCAAATCAGAGGCTAAAGAATAGCTTTTTTTTTTTTTTTTAAAAAAAAGGTGTCAAAACAATTAGAAATTTTTTAAAAAAGAAATTTATATCCTCATACTGTTTTTACAAACGAACTTAAACTTCATATCCCAAATATTCAAAATGAACCTTACTAACAATTTCTATACATCAAACTCTATACTTTGTGCCTTATAGAGATGATTTCATTTCAATTTTTCAAAAAATACATTATGCAATTAACACTGTTTTAGAAACAGAATTAAGTAGTTTATCTAAGGAAGAACTATGCCCGCCTTTCAACCTTTTCATTTTATAGATAAGAACACTGGGACTTGGCAAATGAGATTAATTTGATTAAGAATATATTGGTAGTCAGTGATAGAACTGGGACTAGAACATTTAAGTTTCCTGATATCAGGTAGATCTACTTTAATTTGAATGAAGTTATCCTCTTTAGAGAGAGGCATATAACTCAAGATGATTTTCACAATTAGTATGTAAAAACTTGAAGATAGAAATAAATGCCAGGTACTAAATAATGTGATAAAAATAAATTATACTTACGGGAAATAAATTTCTAGGCATTATTCTTTTGAGTGAGTGCTTAAAATGAGCCAGCAAGAGTATTCCTGTTATAACAACTCAGTTGTCTGTGGGACATATTAAAAGTAGAGTAATGAGAAGAAAGTAACGTCAAAACAGTCAACATTAACTTGAACACAATTTCCATTTTTTATGACTTTTATTATGAAGAGAATGATAAGGGATGAGGTTAGCTCATTGTGGATCAGAAAAAATTGCAAAATTACTGAGAAGAGATGGTATCAATTGATTTTGATTGAACAAATGATGGTGAAGGCAGTCAGCCCTTTTGAAGATAAGTATCTGAAATGAAGACAGCTGTTTTTTAAAATTTTATTTTATTATACTTGAAATATATAAAACAATGTATGTAAAAACAAATATAGGTTATGATGCAAAATATTAACATGAATATATGTGAGTACAATTTGTGAACTAAACTAGACTGTGGTCAACAGTGTTACAAATATCTGTATACTGCTTCCATATTTTATTTGCTAAAAATTTATTTATTTAAATTGTATTTGCTAAAACCACTATTTATCCTTTATAATTATCCCAAAGTTCTAATTGTAATTATCATCTCAACAGTTTCTGTGCCATTGATGTTCATCTGTATTGTGACAACCAAGAATGGAAAAATATATTGAGATACTTCATGGAATGAGTTTACTCTTGTCTGATCCTTATAAACTGGATTCTTTAATAATTTGGTGACCATAAACATAGATGCTGAGTAATTCCTATTGAAAACTCTGAGGGTAAGAATCACCTTTCTCATTTTTCCGTATTCCCAGTACAAAGCACAGTGTGGTACACAGAGGAGCTACTCTGTGTTGAATAACAAGAATGAATGAATAAAATAATGCTTTCTCAACTTCAAAATGTAGAGTTAAGGAGTCAGCGGGTGGCATAGTGGTTACATCTCTGGACTCGCACATGGTCCCATACTGGCTGGCTTGAAAATCACACCAGGGCATGTATACATGTATGCCAAAGCCCAGGAAGAGAAGGGATTACAACATGGCCATCGCCCCGAGGGGTGATTTATGTTTCCCTCTTATTGTCTTTGTCTCTCTCTATAGCGAGCACACACCCTAATGGCAAAAATCTAAAAAATATGTAGAGTTAATAAGTTTATACATGCTGTTTTTCAGTTCTATGTATACATAACATGAAGCTTTCTTATTCAGTGTTCCTAAAATTTACAATTATCAATTTAAAAAATTTTTTTACACAAAGTGAGAAAGAGAGAGAGAGAAAGAACCACCCCTCCACTGCCATGGGGAATTGTCAGTCTGCACTCCTTTCTTCCCCAACTCGCCCTGCTTTCAGGATATTGGGCACACATGCATACATGCCTGGTGTGTTTTTCAGGCTGCTGGGTCTGGGAATCAAAGTGCTGTCAGTTATGTGTGATTCAGCTGCCTTAACTACCATACCGTAGCCTGGGCCTCAATATGTTTTATATAAATATTTAGATATAAAAATTCATACTCTCTGTGTACATATAGGGTCAAAGTCTTTTTAAAGAGTCATGTTAGCTCATTTTGATATATCTTACTACATTATATAAAGGGAGGGCTACAGTTTCCAGAAATTTTATTCTATTTTCACAGACTAGGGCATAGATGTGATATGGATGGTGTATGTCTCATTAACTGCTGCTTTTTGAACCTACATAATTCTTTTTGTTTGGATTTAGTACAAAAAGAGTTTTCACAAAATAGAAAAGTACTGATTTGAGTTTACTTTTTGATTTGAATTAAAACTACTTCAAAGCAGACTTCTGTTCTGGGTTTGGTTCAACTCCCAGCTCAAGGATAAGTATTCATTTTATTTTGTAATTTTGAATTGAATCTCAGATAGAAAGTAATTTTAAAATATTTGTCTGAGTATTTTTGTATGAATGCGCTTTTTTCTCTTTTATTTTCAATAGGCATATGTTAAAATTCTTTATAATCTCCACCATGCTTGAGTATGGCTGTGAATTTTCTTCTGCTTAGAATATGTATTGATTCTTTGGAATACAATTCTCAGCCTTTGTGTGAGCAATAAAGGAGATTCAACATTACATTTAATAAAGGATTTTGGGGGGCTGGGAGAGAGGCCGTGTGCTGAAGACATGTTCTTGCACTATGATCTTGGAGAAAATGAATACAGGTCTTTGTGAATATTCCTCTTCATAAAGGGCTATCTCTAAAATTTCTAAAAAAATTTTGATACATAGGGAATAAAACTGCAATCTGCATTGCTGAACAATTTCTATAGTTCTCTAGTAGATTGCTCCTGAGATATTTTATGGAACGTTTTGTTGCTGATTCTGTGGCTGTGTTATTTTATTTTAATTTAGTACTGTCATGTGAATGATAAGCAGTCAAGGCTGAAAATTCCCTGCTTTGCAATTCTCTGAATGTTAATAATTATACTAATTAGCAATTCACAACAAACAGGTCTCAGTAACATTGAATCATTTCTGCCACGTTCGCCACAATTTTAAAATCATGAGTAAATTTCAAGCTGCTGTTGTCGTTTTAGAAATTCTCTTCCTTGAACAAAACTCCTCCCTAAATCCATTCGGGTCTAAAAGAAAGCACACATCACTGCGGATGTAAACAAAAACACAAAATTACCTTCTTTTAAGAAGTACATTTTATCTTCGATTCATATCCTTTAATTATATATCAAGTAAATGGGGCCTCTCGTGTTCAGTTTTAATGCAGTTAATTCAGCAACATATAAAATACAACTTTGCTTGAAAAATGCAATAGCACCTCTCATTTAGGGGAGACAATTCCATATTGCTGGATAAGGTGAGTGGCCAAGTGATGTAGTCTTCACTAGGAACAGCTGAAATATTAAAGGCATGGGGTGGGTACTCTACTCTTGCTTGCTTATCCTGGTCACCTCTAGTGGTCCTAAGCAGCATAGCAACTACCACCTCTTAGAAAAGCTGTTAGCCTGGGGCCAGCAGATGGCATAGCAGTTACGTCGCTGGACTCCCCCATGGTCAACCATGGTTTGAGTCATGGACTGGTGGCTTGAAACTCACGCCAGGCATGTGTGTGTGCACACCCAAGATCCCGGGAGGAGAATGAAGGATAAGAGACTGTGGCATGGCCAACCCTCATTGGGGTCGATTTCTCATTTTCCCTTTCATTGTCTCTATCTGTCTTTCTCTTCTGAGCGCAGCCGCCCTATAGCAAAAATCTCTAAAAAAATAAAATAAGAAACTGTTAGCCCTTTAGACTTGGCTAACTGTTCTGCCTTTGTCTCTGTTTCCAGCATACAAAGTAAGTTGTAGATTTTTTTCAGCATTTACCTCAACCTATGTGGATACTGTTAGCACCCAGTAAAACTCCCGAAATACAATAGGCATTCAATAAATATTATCAGGTAAGTTGGTATAACTGAACATAGACTTAACAATGTCTTCAACTAATTTATTCATTTTCATTCCTTGCATAAATCTACAAGGGCTTCAGAAATTCATAAAAATGAAATGAAAGTTTGAGCTCATTTTGGTGCAAACCATTGAAATCTATTTAGTTTTTAAAACTTATGCATTTTCCATAAACTTTCTGAAGACCCCTCCTATGTGAGTGTCTGTGATGTGCCAGATTGTACTACATAGTGATAACAGCATGAATGGCAGCTTTTGTTAGCTGACGTGATATGCCAATTTAAAATGAGTAGAAAATGGGTCAGCCCATATCCTGGCAGTTAAAGCAGCTGGATCCCACATGGCTGACCATGTGGTTTGAATCCCAGACCAAGCAGCTTGGAAAACCATGCTGAGCATGTGTTCGTATGTACCCAAGATCCTAAAAGGAGGGAGAAGTTGAGAGAAAGGATTGCAGGGTTACCATGCTCCAGTGGAGACTACTTTCCATATCTCTCACTTCATCTGTCTCTCTCTCTGGCAAGCGTATGCTCCCTTTGGCAAATTAGAATGAATAAAAAATGTCCATCATATCCCCATAGTATCCATACTTCAATCTACTTTTTCTTTAATTCCCAGAGGGTGCTTTCTTGGCCAGAAAGAGACAGAGAAGAGACCCCTCCATAGCATGGTCACGCTGCCCTTCCTTCTCCTCCATTTCACCCTGTCACACGTGCGTGTGCACACCAGGCTTTTTTTTTTTTTTTCGTGTCACTGGGGCTAAGATTTGAATTATGGTGGGCCATGTAGAATTTGGTTCCTTTAACCCTTAGGCAACAGGGTCAAGAGTTTTTACTTTCTTTAGATACAGGGTTTCACTATGCTGTCTTAGGCTGACCTCGAACTCATGCTCTTCCTGTCTTAGCCTCCCAAGTAGTCTGCATTTTTCTAATGGACAGAGTAGAACTAATTGTATTACATTCTAGGAAAGCCTCAGTAAAGATTAAAAATAACAATGTAGCACCTCTGCCTTCCTTCCCCAGTTCATTCCTAGGGTCTACATTCATGGGCTGACATTACTCAGTACCCACTCTGGGTAGAGTTTCACTATGCTTAGCGCTAGGGAAGAGCAGAGAACAAGTCCAATACTATTACTGATCTTATAAGGGTTACCATTAGTGGGAGAGGCAAGTGTTTTACAAATAAGAATTAATCACTATTGTGATCAGTGTTAAAAAAGATAACAGGATATTTTGAGAACATACAGCAGAAATTATCTGAGAAGGAAGGTTGAGTCAATACTGTTACCTGTGCCTGGAAAGCTCTTCCCACTATCACTTGTCTGGTTTAACTTTCAGCTTTCCATCTGACAGCCACTTTTTAGAGACCTTTCTTAACCCTTCTCCTCCATTTCACCCTGTCACACGTGCGTGTGCACACCAGGCTTTTTTTTTTTTTTCGTGTCACTGGGGCTAAGATTTGAATTATGGTGGGCCATGTAGAATTTGGTTCCTTTAACCCTTAGGCAACAGGGTCAAGAGTTTTTACTTTCTTTAGATACAGGGTTTCACTATGCTGTCTTAGGCTGACCTCGAACTCATGCTCTTCCTGTCTTAGCCTCCCAAGTAGTCTGCATTTTTCTAATGGACAGAGTAGAACTAATTGTATTACATTCTAGGAAAGCCTCAGTAAAGATTAAAAATAACAATGTAGCACCTCTGCCTTCCTTCCCCAGTTCATTCCTAGGGTCTACATTCATGGGCTGACATTACTCAGTACCCACTCTGGGTAGAGTTTCACTATGCTTAGCGCTAGGGAAGAGCAGAGAACAAGTCCAATACTATTACTGATCTTATAAGGGTTACCATTAGTGGGAGAGGCAAGTGTTTTACAAATAAGAATTAATCACTATTGTGATCAGTGTTAAAAAAGATAACAGGATATTTTGAGAACATACAGCAGAAATTATCTGAGAAGGAAGGTTGAGTCAATACTGTTACCTGTGCCTGGAAAGCTCTTCCCACTATCACTTGTCTGGTTTAACTTTCAGCTTTCCATCTGACAGCCACTTTTTAGAGACCTTTCTTAACTTCCTCCCTGTCCACCCCAAGCTCATCTAAACTAGACTCTCATATTTTCTCTTACAGCATTCTGTTGTATGTCTTTAAACCACTTGGCAAAACATGAATGTTGTTTTCCATGAACTTTGTGAACAAGCCCCTGAGTAAATATGTAGACTACACATATACACAGATTTAATTGGTACTTGATTATTATACCATATTTCAGTCCTTCAGATAAGAATAATTTTATATTTTGTTCTCTAAAATAGTCAGGATACATTCTTCTTTTTTATATTTTATTTATTTATTTTTTTTT